TAAGTAATAAGCATTATCAGAAAAATGCTCTTTAAAGTTAAGGTACTCAGTTGCAGAGGAGCCGTTCGAATATCTGTAATGCAGTAAAAAGTACTCTTGGAGTAGAATAAAGTAGCAGAATCTTGACTTATTCAATTACCCCAGTATATGAAACTTACGTTAGTGTAGCACAAGTACTGCACACATGGCAGTGCATCTATATTTGTGTCACCAGCTGCTACAAATGACATGAGACCCACAAGCTGCAGCAAAGTAAACTTTTGACATTTTCCAGACATTTCCAGCCCTCGATCTCTGCTCCCTATTCTGAAAGAGTATCTGAGGAACTTCTAAATCTGCGCACTGACACATGGAGTCATTTGGGAACCCAGACGTGTATACATTGTCTCTGGTGCGAGTGCGTAATTTTCGTGGACTTGAAATTAAACTGTAAATACCGAGCCGTCATGGCTTCGCTGCACACAAAACCATAATACCTCAGTCCATCAATATTTTCACTACTCACAGCTCTGAAATAAGGATGTCCAGTCTGGGAGCTGAATGGTGTTACAGAATGAAGACGTTTATGGCTTTGCACGGTAAACAACCACAGATGGAACAACATTTGACCGCAGGCGAACAAGGATAGATACTACCTGTTTGCTGTGCTAACTACGCCAATATAGAATATTCCACTGACAGCTCCTGCAGACGTTGACACTATTTTCCTTTAAATAACTGGCTGGTGTTACTTTAGGTGAAAGCTCCACCCAACAGGAAACCAGAGACGGAGGGTCTAGATGTTAAGTGACATTATCATCACAGTGTAGTCAAGTAAGTATATGAAGCAAAGAGAAATGTCATTATGCTCGAGTGGAAATTAATATATCTGCTGCATTTAAGTTTAAGTTCATTTTTTACCTTAGAATTCAAAGTGGTAAAGTTACAAGCTACTTGTACTCCTAGCATTGCACGTTCTACAGTTTTTGTTTTTATCACCTCTTTTCTAAAACCCTGCAGAGTGAGACCGTTGTTCCGACACAGTAAGAACAAATACATTAACCTTTACAGCACAGATCGAGCTTCAGTGAAACATGAAACTAAAACGAGTTTCATGGAGTTTCAGGGTTTATTTTCCTTCTCAAAAACTGGAGGGATTTCTCCTTCATCGGCAGACTCCTGCTCGGGGGATGTAGAGGAGTATCGTTTACCATTTTAAGAAGAGAGTCCTGGGTAATAAGTGTGCCCCCTGATTATTTCTGAAAACGATTCCTCCTCCACGGGCCTGCGTCCAAACCTCCAAAGTAAACATGACTTCTCACAGGGAGTAACATGGACATTCTTATTTACTGCAATTCATTCAAAACACAGTATTCTTTTTGTTTAAAGCTTTTTGAGTGTGTGCCAAAATGAAAATTAGAAAAATACACACCATATAAATATGTGTGTTTTCATCACTGGTCGCTAGAATACAAACTCCACTTGAATAAACCACAAGTTTATATTTGTCTTTGCGAACTGCGGCTTGATGACTTAAACTGCAGCGCTCTGCAAGATATAAGACCAATATTGAGAGAACTGTATTTAGGCTGCTGTGTCAAGACAGTGTTGAACCACCGTGACTAAATACTGACACTATACACCATGAGAGTGAAGGCACATTTACAATTTAGTTTTCTAATTCCAGCATTTGCGTACGAAATTATTTTAGTAACCAAATGTTGTGTTTGGTTATAAAAGTTCTGCTTGTCCAGTGCCACAGATGAATATCGTCAGTGTTCATTTGTTGATTTTTTGGATTTTTTGTGGGAAAATATTTTTTTACAAAATAGAAGTTGAAAAGTCGTCCATCAGAAATGGTGTCATGTGGAGAGACGCCATGCATACACTGAGTGGAGACACTGGGTTTCCGGTACATTAGCAGCAGTCTTGATTGTGGACAGCTTTTTTTTTTTTTTTTTCAAGAAAGTGGTGGTTGACCAAAGTCATTTCCTGAAATGCCCGACAGTGAATCAAGAGAGTGAAATGCTGGAGCTTGTGAGGTAGAGTTTCATTAGAAAGCACAAAACAAAAACACACGAGGATCCAAAATGTTTAAAACAGGGGGCGGACGGGAAACAAAGGAAGAGACGGGGATGTAACATGCAGCAAAGATTGTTGTCGAACACTCGGCTTACACTCGCCTTTCAGCCACCAGGATGCTTCAGAATGAACATCACTTTTAAAATAATGACATTTGATGTCACCTCATAGCTCGTGTGAGATTGTAACTGATATGCACCAAACAAAGATTTATATATTTCAATGAAAAATACTAGTTATTGTAATTCATGACAGAACTTAGTCTTTCAATTTGAGATATCAGTAAAATACTTTTAATGGACTGTGGTTTAGTCCAGTAAAACAACAGAAGCCACAGTAAACAAAGTTTGGCCTAATGATGGTGCTAAGGGGAATTCAGGTTGTAAATATTTTTGTGTTGCAATCACACTTTTTAGTTTTTGTGAGTAACAAGGGTCAGGAGGAGAATGAGCTAGATGGTGGCGCTAGAGGACCACTGAGGGTCCACAGAGCTGAGTGACTGGTTGAGATCCAAAACAACAGCATCTTTATCTTTATTCCATAACGTGAACTCAAAGGGTTCATTTTAACCAACATGCACAGATGTGCTGTACCTGGAAAATGTCACTGAACACTAATAAAGACAAAGCAACATCAGACTTTCCTCGATACCACAAAGAGATCATGATGTTCCAGCACATCGATCTTCTCTGTACCAGTCATCCAGATTAAATCAGGGTAATCCCAATGGATACATGTTGCTGTAATTTTGCTTTAGCGGTTTTTGCATGATTCTAATATAATACATGCATGTCATATATACACAACAGTAAGTGAAAGGGGAAAACGGCTGCTGCAGTTCATTCAGTGTTTATAAAAGAATAATGCCAAATACTTCTATTATGAATATGCTCTATTACAGAGTGAGCCGCGCAGGAAGTCAATCCCAGCTGGCACTGGGTGAGGGTGATACCAGCGTATCGCAGAACTAACAGAGACAAACGATCATTTACACGTAAGAAGAGTCTCAAATGAACCTAATCACTAATCTGCATGTCGGGATAGAACATGAAAATTCCACACAGAACTGGGATTCAAACCAGAAACCCTTTTGCTGTGTGCAAACCACTGCTCCATCTGAACCAAGCATATTCCTGAAAATTTTACATAATTCCGATTTCTCCTCCCACGCTGGAGTCGCGGTGAGCTACAACATCTGAGACTGTGTGTGTGTGTGGATGAAAGTGGTTTAGAAACACACACTAACACACACACACAGTCAGTATTCAGTGCTTGGAGATGTTGTTATAGT